GAGAATGAGCGCATCTCAGCTAAGCGGTCAAGGTCGTGTCCGCAGTGATGGCGTCACCTTGACAGCACGGACCCCTGACGTGAAGAGAAGGGCGCTCTGCCTCTGCGGTCTTCCTCCCCAAGCCCATCACGCAACATCAGACACATCCCAACAGAGGGGCGGCCCCAGCACCCCCAGAACTGCCGGGCCACTGGAAACCAGGGACGACGTGAGAGATGGCTGAGTCCAGAGATGCCTGGGGCGACGTGAGGAAGGGGCAGACAGAGGATGACAGGAAAACCGAGGGCACCTGAACGGTGTGGACTTTGGTTGACAGCAGCGAGCCCGTAGTAGTTTGTGATTTGTGACACATGCGGCACGCTGACGGGAGGTGCTGACAGGGAGTGGGGGGGAGGTGGATGGGAACTCCGCTCTTTCTAGACGAGCCCCTCTTGTCCTCTGGCACCTTCTCTTTCTCGCGCCTGCTCACTCCGCCACCCGGGATGCTGGCCTCTCCCCGTGTCACTTCCAGCCACTGCCCGCCAGCCCTTGTCGCATGGCGTGTGTCTCATGTGGTGCGTCTGAGTGTGTGAGCACAGGCGTGTTGGGTTTCTCTTGCAGTGGGCATCCCCACCATTCGGTGGTGCGGGGCGGAGGGGGACTACAATGTCATGGTGATGGAGCTGTTGGGACCGAGCCTGGAAGACCTGTTCAACTTCTGCTCGAGGAAATTCAGCCTCAAAACTGTCCTGCTGCTTGCTGACCAGATGGTAAGAACCCTGCTTTCCAAAGTGCCGGGGAGCCCGGGTGCTCGATGCCTGCTTGGTTTGCCTCGGCAGTGTGATGGCGCATTCGGGTGCGGTTCCCTTTGTTTTACGCCTGTTGGTGGGTGGGGAGAAAGTGGGCACACGGTAACCTTTGCTGCAAGGCACTGACGGTTGGCCGGCTTTGGAGACTGCCCCACACGGCGTCACCCATTCGCGTGTGGGACTCTGCAGAGAGGCCGACTGGTGCAGACCCTCGTCTGGGAAGGGGGCGGTCCTGTCACCAGCCAGCAGTCCACCCACCACCAGAGCCTGCGAGGAAGACGGCAGGGGTCCCGAAGGTGGTCCGATCGGCGCCCTTCACTGGTTGTTGAGTTACTCTGCTCTGACCAAGGGCACGGGACATGCAGCTAAGGGCGCAGCCCTCACTCTGCCGAGCCAGGATCCTTTTCCAAGGCTGCTGCTGGGGTTTAATGTCTCATCGTTCCTTCTCTGCTTCCAGATTAGTCGCATCGAATACATTCATTCAAAGAACTTCATCCACCGAGATGTGAAGCCAGATAACTTTCTCATGGGGCTGGGGAAGAAGGGCAACCTGGTCTACATCATTGACTTTGGGCTGGCCAAGAAGTACCGGGATGCCAGGACCCACCAGCACATCCCCTACCGCGAGAACAAAAACCTCACTGGGACGGCGCGGTACGCCTCCATCAACACGCATCTTGGAATCGGTGAGCCCGTGGGTGGTGGGCTCTTCTGTGCCCCCGGTCACTGGCCCAGGCCACCTTGGGCATGTCCGTCCCTTAGCTCAGGGAAAGGGAAGCCCCTTGGGACACCCTGGGAGTGGCCAGCATGTTTGGCATGGAGGCTGTCATCGAACCTTTGTAGCGAAGGCTGACTGTCCGGACTGTGGAGAACCTTTTGTGAGGTGTGGTGGGGGCGGGTAAGTGGCTGGGCTTTCTGACAGTAAACTTAATATTGGTATCGCCCATCCAGGGGTGCCAGAGCCCCTAAAAGCACATCAGGGGTGACTTGTGGTGAGAAAGAATCCGAGAGTATTTTCTGTAGCTTTAAAAGTGCATTTCCCCAGTAAGCATGCGCCTGGGGTCTTGGCTTTGCAGCTGCAGGCGCACGTGTGCTGTTCTTAACCCATTTCCCATCTTTTCCAGAACAATCTCGAAGGGATGATCTGGAGTCACTGGGCTATGTGCTCATGTACTTCAATCTGGGCTCTCTGCCCTGGCAGGGGCTGAAGGCAGCCACCAAGAGGCAGAAGTACGAACGGATCAGCGAGAAGAAGATGTCCACCCCCATCGAAGTGCTGTGTAAAAGCTACCCCTGTGCGTGTCCTCGAGTGCAGGCGCTGGGTGGGCCTGTGGTCTCAGGGTGGAGTTAGGGTGGGGGTGCTGGGAGGCCAACGAGTCCCGCGTGGTGAGGAGGGGAAGAGTCCGTGGGTGACCTGTCCTTGGGCTGGTGGCGGCTTCCTGTCCCTGGTGCTCCTCTGCTTTCCGGGACCAAGGACCCATGGAGTTCTTTGTTCCTATGGAGAAATGCCCTGGGGGGAACCAGGCTGTGCTCTGTGGTGCTGGGTTTTCTTAAACTGTTTCCTGAAGTCTCAGTTCCCTCCCTGTGTGAGCAGTGTTTCGGACAACATGTCTCGCGTGCCCGGTGTGTGGCAGGCAGTGGTGGCGAGAGCATCTGCAGCCACCAGCGCCCCGTTGGGCACTGCTAGGTAGCACTGAGTATCTTGTTCTGCAGCTGAGTTCGCCACGTACCTGAATTTCTGCCGCTCCTTGCGTTTTGACGACAAGCCTGACTACTCCTACCTGAGGCAGCTCTTCAGGAATCTCTTCCACCGCCAGGGTTTCTCCTATGACTACGTGTTCGACTGGAACATGCTCAAATTTGTAAGTGCTCTGCCGGCTGGTTAGACAGAGGCCTCCGCCAGACGAGGTGCAGGTTTTAGAAGGCGTGTCTGCCGCCTAGGGGGAGCCGAGTGCACCTGCTAGGGTCTTGGCCCAGTGTGGGGTGCATCTAGCCAAGGCTGGGAGGTTCCAAGAAGCAAGATCCCGGTGAGGGGACAGTAAAGAAGGCACTGTGTCAGCGCTGGCCCCCCTGGAGCCAGTGGAATGTGTCTTCTGGCGCAGGTCTGCCTGGAACCAGGGCTCTTACTTGAATGACAGACCATGAGAATGTCATTTTATTATCATTCTCCTCACCAAGAGCGCCATGGCTTTGACTGCCTCTGATGTTGAGGTGTGGCTCCCGAGCGTTTGTCGTGCAGGGGGGTATGGCCAAGGCCGAGGGCTCCTGCCAGGTGACATGACCACCTGCCCCTCCTCCCTTGGACCCAGCCGTGTGGGTGAGCGAGCTGGGTGGGTGCTCGGGAGGCGCGGTGCCTGGGGTCCAAGTGCGTTGACTTCCTTTGTTCGGGGGTTGTTGAATGGATGCAGGTTTGCACGTGACTGCTGGGGGTGGGGGTGCAGAACTTGAGCTTTGGTGTTTGCCTTCTCTAAAGCAGGCTGCCTGTTACAGGAATCTAATTAATCTTGAGATACTATTGCCAGAAACTTCCAGGGTTTTTTTGGAACTTCTTCCTCTTTTGTTACAAATTTGTTATATTTAGTTACGAGCTTAAAACAGAAATTGGAACCTTTCCAGGGTGACAAGATCCGATGGAGGAGCGGAACCTCCTCTCTAGACAGCATAAGCCAAGAAAGGATTATTTTGCGGCCTCGCGGGTACCCGGGTGTTCGTGCAGGGGTCTGTGCCGTGTGTGGGAGAACCAGGTGTGCCGCAGTGGGCTGGCGCAGGACGTGCCCCCACAGGTCGCCCAGAGTCTGGGCAACGTTCTGGCGGCATCCCCCTCCCAGTAGGGCCGGCCACCCTTCTCTGGGCAGGGCTGGGGTGTGGCTCATCGCAGCTCTGTGGTGCTCATGCTGGAACAGCCACGCGGCTCTGCGCCGCCACTGAGAAGCTGCCACGGGTGGCGTGTTACTCGAGTGGGTGCGGAGGAAGACTTGTGCAGAAACCGATGGTGGCTGGATTTGGCCCGTGGGCTGCCGTTTGCAGACTATTGCCTTACGGCACTGGTAATTAGAACGTGGTGGCGGGTGTCTTGTCCCCACTCGCCCAGTTCATCGTGTAACTAGCTGTTTGTGCTGGGAGCGAGTTAAGTGGTGTCCACCACGTGGGTCCTCCTAGGACAGCTCTGGCTACCTGAGTCCTTGTCATGTGGGCACTGGCCTGACATCCGCCCTGGGGCTGGAGATCTGGGCTCTGCTCAGGCCTCCCACCCACCAGACACCGCCACTTTCACGTGCCTCTTGGATCCTCTGGATGCCAGCATGTTGGGCCCACCGCTGTCCTGACTTCGTGTGATTTCCCGTCCCCGTGTGGATGTTCACAGGGAAGAGGCCACCCAGTTGCTATCAGTGAGGGGGGTTCAGGAGTGTTGGGGACCTCCTCTGTGCGCTCATAGGGTCAAGGGGCAGGCCACTGTCCTGGAGGGAGCGGCACCTCATCCCAGCTGGCCGCAGGTCCCAGTGCCCCTGGTGTGTTCTTGAGTCGCAAGGGGCAGCCGGGACCCTTGGGCAGTTTCCACCGAACCCTGTTCAGTCTAGTCTTCCTGCTTCCTTCACAGGGAGCCAGCCGGGCAGCTGATGACGCTGAGCGGGAGCGCCGCGATCGAGAGGAGCGGCTGAGGCACCCTCGGAACCCAGCCGCCCGCGGCCTCCCCTCCACGGCCTCTGGCCGCCTGCGGGGCACCCAGGAGGTGGCTCCTCCCACCCCCCTCACCCCTACCTCACACACTGGTGAGTGGGCTGGGGCCTCGTCTCCCCAGCAGGCACCGGGGCTTCTGGTGTGCACGTTGGCCGCTCTGGTTGTTGGAGCTGCAGGGCCCCGCACCGGGTGAGGCCGTGTGCGTCCCACTTCTGGTCGACTCTGGTTCCCGAGGATGGGCAGGCCAGGGGACGTGTGTTTCACTGGACTTGGAGGACCCTGCCACTGAGACATGGATGGCTCCCCTAGGAGCCTCTCTCCCCGCCCCTCTTTCCCCTCCATGAGCGGCCCCCTGAGCACGGAGGCCTCAAGCTGCCCCCTTCCGCTGCTTGTGCTCCTGGGAAAGTCCGCCCGGAGCCAGCACACTGGGCGCTCCGCGGCCCCTGCCCACCACTGCCGACCTGGAGATCTGGTGGGGCCCCGCGGGGTACAGCGGCACCCACCTCCCCGCGTGCTAGACGCCGAGGCCGCTGAGGAGAGGCCTCCTCTCGCTGATGGCAGGGCTGCCCTGAGGCTGAGGCCTCACCCTCACCCCGTCTCCTCTTTTCCAGCTAACACCTCTCCTCGGCCCGTGTCTGGCATGGAAAGAGAGCGGAAAGTGAGTATGCGGCTGCACCGCGGCGCCCCCGTCAACGTCTCCTCCTCCGATCTCACGGGCCGACAAGATACCTCCCGCATGTCGACCTCACAGGTATGTACTCCGCACAGGCACGCACTCCGGGCTCGGCGAGGTCGGGACGCTGCGGCCCTTGGGCCTCTCTGTGTCCGAGCTGGTCTTCGGGCGCCAAGAAGAGTGGGGCGAGGGTGTGGAAGGGCTTCGTTCCTTCCTGCTTCCCCTCGGCCGTCCTTTCCGAGTGTTAAGCGGGGAGGGACGCGGCGCCCCTCGCGGCTCTGCAGCCCCTTAGTTCAGAGCCTACTGCGGGCTGTGCAGAGGAAGGGCTCGTCTCCCGGCCGCGCTGGGACAGGTAGTGGGGCCTTTTCTCTTCTGTGGCCCTCCTCGCAGCCCATCCCCAAGCCAGCCCTGGAGGCTTGGCCGTCTTCCGGTGCAAACTTGAGATGCCACGCCTGCTCACACCACACGTCTGTCATGGGCACACACAGGCTTGGAGGCCCTTTGCTCACGCTTGTTGGGCAGGCGGTCCCCGTGGATTGCTGGCGGCCCCTGGAAGGTGGCCTGGACAAGCCTGTCAGCGCGCGGGTGAGCGTTCCCGTCTTCTGAGGTCCCTGCCCACCTGCCTTCTTTCTGACGAGGCAGGTGTCCTCAGAGAAATGGCTCGGTCATGCACACGGGTCCCTTCCACTCACATCCTCCTCTTCCCTCTCTGGCTTTGGTGCTGTGGCTCTTCTGCGTTCACCCACGTGCCCTCCACAGATGAGCTCTTTTCACACACTTGGACCTTCTTGCTCAGGTAGCTGTCAGGTCCCTCTCCTGCTTCCAACAGGGTCCTCCGGGTGCCTGTGCCCCATGGTATCTGCGGGGGGTTGGGGGGACGGGCACTGGTTTTGGGGAGCACCCTGGAAGCCCGGGTCCTGGGTCACGCCCCTCCGGCTCACTGTGGTACCTCTCTCGTTGACGAGTTAGCCTTGGGCCCTGCTGCTGGCACACGCTTGGTGCTGGGCGTATCTTGGTGAATTGCTGGGCCAAGCACGTTGGTTAGGAGAGCACAGGGTCTGTGAGAACTGCCCAGAACCTCAGTTCCGCAGCGTCTGCTTGACCTTCTGGCAGAGGAGCAAGGAGGGAGTGCTCCTGATCCCTTTTATTTTAGCCCGGTAAAGTGAACAGTTTCGGTGTGACTACCTCCAGGTTGCTGGTAGTTCTGCCAGAAAGGGGTTGTCTTTGTACGTAACTTTTTCCCAAAGAGATTAAGGATCCATGTAGTTCTAATTGTGGGGCTCGAGGACTCTGGCCAGCGTAATGAGCTTGGGCCCCACACTGCACCTCCCTCCCCGCAGGACTCAGAAAGGGCTATGGGCTTCTTCCCCCAAGCCCTGGAATCCATGAATCGGCAGCAGGAGATAGATCATAGGCAGCGTCTGCCCACGCGTGGCCGAGAGCCCAGGCATACAGTCTGCTCCAGGGCCCCAGATACCCCAGGCAGGGACAATCGGGAGTCTGTGGACCCCAGGGGCTCTGTCTGGACTCAGCATCTACGTTCTCGACCTCAGCCAGCAAAGGTGAAGGAAGGGGCAGAGCTAATTCTCTTTGAGGGAAAAGAACATACATGGAAGGTTTGGGACGACAGAGGGCCCGAGGCTGCTGGGACCAAGCCCAGCTTCTCCCGCACAGTGTGGCCAGCCTCAGCCCTCATGCCCTGGGGCCTTGCTGTGAAGTCTCACTGAGCAGAGGCGAGTTTGCAACTGGGAGTCCCGTGTTCCGCGTCCTTGTTCTTTGTGCTTTCCGTGTGAAGAAGTGTGGGACTGGACCAGAAGGACGAGGCTCCAGAGGTGTGATGGGGAGGTGTCTCCCCTCTGATAGAAGCACTGGTCTCCCTGGGGGGTCTTCTTAGGGTCTTTGTGTTGAGGACACGGCCCTGGGATGTGTCCCTGACGCACCCCCGACCCAGAGATGGTCCCTCCTTTGGGTTTTCTGGGTCACCCACCTGCGCTCTTGGGAGACTCTGCACCAGGCTCCTGCCCTCCACAGGGGGTGACGGGCACCCTGTGGGACAGCAAGAGTCTCTTTCTGAGATTCTTGGCAGGGGTTGCCCCCCCCAGTGTCGGCCCCGGTGGTTTGGAAGTTCCAGCTTGTGTGATTCTGTGGGTTCCGTTCACTCTTCCCCCAAAGGAAGCGGGGTGCAGGCAGAGCCAGGGATGCTTCTGTGAAGCGAGGGCGGCCCCCATGGGGCTGAGGCCGTGCGTGTTCTGTCCACCTCCCCCGCGGCTGCTTTTCGTCTGGGTTCTCTGTGAGCTTTGAAGAGATGTCGTGTCTTGTGCAGATGTGCGATGTCGGAGGCAGTAATTCTTCCCAGAAGGCGCTCGAGCCGCCGGCCGGCCTGTGGGGGACCCTGCTGACTCTCCAGCTGGGCGCGGGGAGGGACCGTTGATATCTGTGTCCCTCGTCCCCACCCCTTAACCGTGGTGCGCTCAGACTTTGCAGGAGGGTGACCGTTCCTTGCCCCTACTTCCTTCTGGAGGGGGCTTGTGCTAGAGCACGGTCCCCACGCTCCCGACCCAGGGCACGAGTCCGACTTCTCAGCCAGAGCAGTGAGGACCCCAGAGGGCATCTGGTCGATGAACCTGTTTGTGAGTTTCTGTCTTTGAGAAGAAAAGGCCTCGCGGGTCCGGTGCCGTGAATAGAACGTGACACGGCCTCTGAGGTTAACCCCTTTCCAGTAAGACCCGTGGCCCCCTTGTCTTCCCTGTGGCCGGTCCGCGTGTCAGGAGGGGTGGCCAAGCACAGGCAAGGCCTGGGGGCGGGGCCCACCGTGGGCCCCCATCCGGAAGTGTCAGGTTCACGCTCTGCCCGATGAGGCGAGAGGAGCGGCTGCGGCTGCTCTCGTCGTTCCTGGGGTCCCCTCTGGGGCAGCCTGGCCGGGTCGCGGACCCAGTTGAAGCGAGGTGCGGAAGGCCTCAGTCCTGCTTGCCGGCGGAACCCTTACCAACGGCTGTCTTTTCCCCCCACCTCAGAATAGCATTCCTTTCGAACACCACGGCAAGTAGCTGCACGTCTCCCGCTGGAAGGCAGCACCGGTGAGTGTGCTCATGTCGGGGCCCGGCAGGCGGCAGGCGGCAGGCGCCGGGCGGTGGCGGGCGCGGACCACCCTGCGTCCGCCCCGGGGGTGCGCAGGCGGGACCGGGCTTGCATGCCGGGTGCTGCAGGGAGAGCG